GAGAACGACCCATTTCGTCTTGAATTTTGGCTCTTCTGAAGTCGCCGACAGCAAAAATAGATTTTTTCGATTTTCTCCAAATTGAAGCGGCCTCTCTGAAAACAAACTACATCATGCTTAGTTACGTACCAATACCTATCCATGGGCAAAATATCAGCGAAATCAAAATTTCCACTCTGGCCGTTGGTTGCTGAATTTTTGCAGGCATTTACTCTTAACCTCCCTTTTAATTTTAACCCGACGCCCACGCTTACCATATTTGTAGATTATGGTATATTGGCTAATATACCATAATGGCTAAGCCAATAAAAAGTCTTGAATTGCATTATCCAATGATCTAGTTTTTTAATAACACACATCATTAAAAACTGGATCATTGGATAATGCAATTCAAGACTTTTTATTGGCTTAGCCATTATGGTATATTAGCCAATATACCATAATCTACAAATATGGTAAGCGTGGGCGTCGGGTTAAAATTAAAAGGGAGGTTAAGAGTAAATGCCTGCAAAAATTCAGCAACCAACGGCCAGAGTGGAAATTTTGATTTCGCTGATATTTTGCCCATGGATAGGTATTGGTACGTAACTAAGCATGATGTAGTTTGTTTTCAGAGAGGCCGCTTCAATTTGGAGAAAATCGAAAAAATCTATTTTTGCTGTCGGCGACTTCAGAAGAGCCAAAATTCAAGACGAAATGGGTCGTTCTCGAAATTTCGTTTGCGTGCTAAAGGGAAGGAAGAGAGGTAAAATATTTTCCAATGCGTCTGTTTATGGAGGGTTTTACTTCTAGTTTGGTGGAAAATATTCAACTTAGCAGTAATCTGAACAGGGAACAATGATATTTTAGAACTGCTTTATTCTTAACTGAAAGAATATTATATTTTAGCTGAAAGTCGCGATTAAAATGTGAGGCATGTACCACGCCTTGGTTTACCCTGAGACTCAAGCAATAAGTTCTTTAAATATTGTACTAAAACGTATGTAAAAACTGGCTAGGGTAATTCAGTTTACGCTTCACACGAACTCTCGAAAGTTGAACAAAATTTGGTTGAAATATGGGACCAAAGTAGCGGTTTGTTGGTGTTTGCGACGGCTTGCCGCTACTGCCGAAAACTTAACTCGCATGAACTTAGCAGATTTTTGTTTAAAAACAAACCTTACTGTCTAACCCTTTTCTGATTGACTTTAAATTTTTCTCGGGTAATTCGCTTCCTGGTTATCCTTGTTTCTTCTTCCCAAAATTATGCTCCACGAGTCGAAGCAGCGAACCTTCTAACTTCACCAGGGAACTTCAGCAGCCGAGCATTTTATCGGAAATATTAGATTCGATGAATCCTTTTTTTTCGATCCAATTTTTACATCTTGCACACTTTAAAAGTTTAAGCTTTCATAAAATTTAAAATAATTTACAGGTAAACAGTATTCAAGGGCAGATTTGTCTTTAATTATGTTGTAGCGTTGCTGTAGAGTTGCGTGACAGAACAAAATTATTCCCACCGGGAGGGTGTAGAGAAACAACGACGCGAAAGGGACTGTTTCCGTTGTTTTCGATTTCACTTTAGGTGAACATTTTGTAATTCTCTTGCAGACTTTTCTTCAAATTTTAACTGTCCATCAAGCCGTAAATAATTGCTTTTTTTTGTTTTGTTTTTTGTTTGTTTTTTTTTTCGTTTTAAACAGTGTTCTAGTCTGCGACTCTAGACATGTTCGCAATACCATTTTGCTTGAATTCAGTAAAACGGAAAACAAAACTGGGGGTCTTACAAAATTAAAAACTTTTCAAAAAATTAAAAACAAACGATTGAAAACAAACTCTTGAGTTGATTTTTCTATGAGACTTTTTCGGTAAAGCGCTGTACTCTTCAGTATAATTATGCCGATGTTTAGTGGTTGACCTTCTCAGGCAAGTCTTTCAGACCGGGAAATGTTCTAACACATCACAGACCTCGTTTCAACAAAACGCGATTTAAAGTTTTCCCTGACAGCTGCATTTTTTGCCAAAGGAGATCAACCTCTCGATGTAAGGAGCTTTTCTCTTCACTTTGATGTCGGCTGTCGGGATGTCAAAGTGCTCGCAGATATTCTGAAGCATCTGAATTGCAAATTTTGACAGCTTTGAATCTGCAATGAGTTCGCAAATGTTATAACTGTCATAGCAGATGGGATGACGGAGGGCAACTTCTTGAAGGATTTCCCTTCTCAGCTTGCTGAGGGCTACCTCATCTTCTTTGTTCTGGTTTTCTTCAATGTCACTCTCCGTCATTTCGTCATCTTCACTGAGTATACGCTTGGAGGCCAGCCTTGAAAAGAAACTTGAAACTTTCTGGCTCGTCAGAAATTCAGAACTTATAAAAAGGCGGTTTCCATTGCTGT